CTGCTGTTAAATTATAAATCAATATAAATACATTAAGCTGGGTGGTGGCAGCACACGCCTTTGATTCCAGCACCAAGGGACCAAGGGAGAGAGAGTACAAAGGGGGAAGGCTGGGGGGCGGGGGCGGGGGAGACAGAGGCAGGCAGATCTGAGTTCAAGGCCAGTGCGGTCTACAGAGCAAGTTCTGGGACAGCCAGGGCTACACAGAGAAACCTTGTCTCAAAAAAAATGTATATATATATGGAGAGAGAAGTCACAGCATGAAAGAAAGGATCAGTTCTAGGATGGCAGACCTGAGCCCTCAGATTCTAGAAACAACAAACTAAAACATGCAAAATTCATAATTTAGCTCATAATTTTTGTCAATACTTTAAAATTTCCATAAGGGTTTTTTTTTCCCTAAAACTGAATATCTACATAAAAGTTACATCATTGTTAGTTTCAAAACACTAAAAACAAAATGAAAATACTCAGCTCTTCCAGAAAAAAAAAAAAAAACCTAGATTCTCTTCAAAGTGAAATAATCTTGAACTAAAATTTTAAACTCAATGAGTTTAAGAACAATCAAAATAAGGCATCGTCAAAAGTCTGTTTGGGAATTTGTTTCATATTCACGTGCCTTCTCTGAACTAGTTAACAAACTATATAATCTAATCCAAGAGACAGCCATTACATGTATGTAGTAACACAGCCTCTCACAAGCTTGCAAAGTTCTGGTTTAAAACTTTGGAACAGACCCCACCATTGGGGTAGGACCTGAGGAGGCTGAGGCAAGAAGATGGCAAGTTCAAATCCATCCTAGACTACAGAGTCAGGTTAAGCCAGTCTGGGCAATTTAGTAAGACTTCGTCTCAAAATATAAAGGGGCCTAGAGACAATAGCCCAGCAGTAGAATGTTTACCTGGCATGCACAGGGTGCTAGATCCAATATATAGTATCAAAAGGATGCAAAGTTCTACTTGACGCTGGCAGAAAATCAAGAAAGGAACATTTTAAAAATCATTTAAAGGCCGCTGCTTAGAAGAGTGGCAAGAACATGGTAATTTCCAAACCTGGGTTGGAGATGCAAGGAAAGCATAAAAAGTAGATTGACTTGATAGATGTTAAGAGGATGGAGCAACAGCATAGTAAATATGAAATAATTTGAAACATATGAAATGGCAGGTAAGAGTACAATCGTAAGTGTAAATGGTTTCAATTGCTAGATGAAAGGCGAATGCATTTTTACAACCCTTTTTAAGTTCAGCTAAATGTTTTTTTTTTTTTTTTTTTTTTTTTTTTTGTAAGAAACCTACCTAAATCAAAGAGTGAGATGATGTTTTGAAAATAAAGAGATGGGAAAGTTATTCAAGGCAAATGTTAATAAAAAGAAAACACACACACAAAAAAAAAAGATGTCAGAAAACTGAAGACTGAAAAAACTAAAATGTATAAAAGAAGCAATTTATCAAAAAGATGAAGTTGTCGTGAGTGAGCTCCCTTATGTTGAAAACAGCTTTGAGAAATCATCCAGTAAATTGACAAAATGCCGTACAAACGGAGTAAGGATATCGGGAACTTCTATAAATAAGTTTGGGTTTGTCTTTGTTACCTATCTGTTGCCAAGCCAAAGAGCACTGTTCCCTACATTCTCTGTCCCATCAACTGCCCTCAGAGACCACGGCTGGCCCTGTGGTTTCACGCAAAAAGCTTTCATCCCTGGTTACCACCATCTCAACAGAGCATCCCTCTTCCGCGTGACTTCAGTCCCCCTCCCACAGAATTCTTCCCTGCTGGTCCGGTGTCTCAGGGAAGAGCCCTCCCTTCCCTTGTGACTCTGTGAGAACGCCATCCCTCTTCCACAGGGGTAGGGTCAGGAAGGTAACCTTACAAAAGGAACCCTCTCGATGGACGAGGTACAGGGGGTGCCATAGTCATATGCCGTAGTCATATGGGATGTGTTGTATCCCATCTTACTGGTATGTTGTCAAGGAATTTTAAGTAAGATGTAACCACTGGAAGATAGGTAAAAAAAAAAAAATGTGTGGTTTTACAAGCCGCTCATTGCTCATATTATTTTTTTCTATGAAGATGAAAATGAATGCAGAACCAAGCCAGGTATCTGTGAAAATGGACGTTGTGTTAACATCATTGGGAGCTACAGATGTGAGTGCAATGAAGGATTCCAGTCAAGCTCCTCAGGCACCGAATGCCTCGGTAAGCGAGTATAGGAATATTTTCTTTGGTGAGCAAAACATGTTTATGATGTCATCAGAGGAGAGCTCTGCACATGTATTCTTGCCTGGTGAGCCTCCTAAGCACAGTACTCTCCATGCCTCTGCCCACGGGTATACGTCTATTAAAATGATATATTTATATGCCTGTCATACATGCACATGTAATGTAAATAACAACCTGAAATAGTCTTTCCAAAATTACGATTAATTAAGCTCCGTGGAAAATGTGACTTTAGTAAGGCTTACACGAGGAAATGACTTAATTCCAAAAGAAAATATTTGCAGTGTGAGGTAGGCTCTGCCAATATTAATGCAAAGCAAACGCCACTTTCCAAAGTGCAAGGGAGATTAATTTTTATATTATGGTCCAGAAAAATGTTCTACAAAGTATTTTCTAGGGGGAAATATAAAACCCATGGGCACTCCATCACACTAAACCAATGCTGCAATGTGGGCATTCCTGGCACTGTTGCAGTTAATAGGGTATGGTCGAATTTGAAGGAACCAGATAAAGAAGAGCGATCAACCAGTCAGTGGCTTGATGGGGCCAGACATCAGAGGTGCATCAACATGCTGCTTCCAATCCTAGGAAGATTTTTATACTCAACATAGTGTATTTTATGTCCTGTTGTCTCCAATCTAGACCTTCCCTGGTTATGAGTCTTTGAAGAAATAGCAAAGATGCCCTAAAAAGAATACAGTTTTCTGTTCATATTATGATTTTACTAGCACACTTGGCTTATTAAGCCATACTGAAGAAGAAACCCTGAACTTACATTAATACACTGTCTATAATGTACTCAGTCCTTTCACTGCAGAAAATAATGGAATAAGCACCACGTTCATGACATAGTCTTGAATTTGTTTTTCAGTAATTCTTACCTGTCATTATTTTATCTAAAAGGAAATAAATACATGTGGTGTTTCTTTCTTTTGGGGTCCTGACAGTCATGACTTTCACTGTATTGAAAAGAATGAACATTGTATAACTTTTGTCAAGTTTAATCATCTGTTGGTGGTCTAAGCACCATGGGGGTGTAAGGTCAACAAGACCTTACAATCACCAAGTGTAGACTGCTCACGTAAGAAGAATACTTTCAGTGTTGAAGGTTGTGGCTGAGGACAGCCTGACTGTCCACTGAAAACCAGGCTGACGGCTCCTTGACCTTGACTCTGGTCTCCCTGGTGTTTGTTGCAGACAACCGGCAGGGCCTGTGCTTTGCAGAGGTGTTGCAGACCATGTGCCAAATGGCGTCCAGCAGCCGCAACCTCGTCACGAAGTCAGAGTGCTGCTGTGACGGTGGCCGGGGTTGGGGCCACCAGTGTGAGCTCTGCCCACTTCCCGGAACTGCCCAGTACAAGAAGATATGTCCTCATGGCCCAGGATACGCCACTGATGGAAGAGGTGATATGCTGGGGGGCTTCGGGGATTGTGTTCTCATACATCCAAATTAGTTTAAAAGAAACGTGAGAAAAAGTAATCCTCACTATTCAACTTACTAGAGTGGAAGTATCCAGAAAGTAGAACGAACCCCTACCTACACTCAGGTAAGCAACATTTCTTTGAACAAGGCGAGGGTAGTTCAGAGGTTACTAACCCCCGTGGCCTTTAGGATCAGGTAGGTCTGTGCCATTTTCTGGAGGACAGTCTTTACTGTTACCATAGTCTTGTGCTGCTATCTCCTCATCTGCTAAGTGAGGATCATAAAGTCTTCCGAGGGTTTGATGAAGGAACAGATCTCTTCAGTTTTGTGAAGCATGGCCTGGAGGGAGAGCTGGCTGGGTCAAGTGCCTTGCAAGCCTGAAGGCATGAGTTAAATTCCCAGGACCTGCATTTTTAAAAGGCCAGGAGTGGTAGGGAGATAAAAACAGGTGGGTCCCTAAGGTTCCCTGGCCAGCCAGCCTGGCCCACTTGGGGGGGGAGGGGTTCCCCTGGCTTCCAAACACACACACACACACACACACACACACACACACACACCTTTATAACGCATTATTACACAATGTTCTTGTGATTCATGCACAGAGCACATATAAGTGCAGCAGTGTTTTAGATGGAATTATGATAGGATTACTTTTTCACATTTCTGTTAGCCTGACTGCTAACAGAAAGAAGCCGGTAGGAACTGGAGGCCCAAGTCTATATAGAGTTGATTACCACATATTTCAGAAGAGTCATGCTTCTAAGAGGTAGCTTTCATATATATATTTGTAGTAACTCTCACTTAGCACGCAAAATGTACAGTCCAGCGTGCGCCTTGCGGCACAGCCCTCCCTTGTTTGTCTCCCCGCTCCCCACCGCCCTCCTCAGTTGGTTTTGTTCCCCTCCCCCTCCCACGTTGCCGTTCCCTGAACAGTGAGAAAGGGCTCTGGAGGTTCTGTGGGTGTCCACTGCCATCTCACGCCAGTCCCTTCGTCCCTCCTCACTTCCGGCCATCTCCACTGTGCAGATGTTGACTCCTGTTCCTTCTCCTCTCTCTTCCCTTCCTGCACAGACATCGACGAGTGTAAGGTGATGCCGAGCCTCTGCACGAACGGCCAGTGCGTCAACACCATGGGCACCTTCCGCTGCTTCTGCAAGGTTGGCTACACCACCGACATCAGCGGGACGGCCTGCGTAGGTAAGATGAGGCTGCTCGCGCACCGTCTGGTGAACCCCTGCTTCCTCCAGAAGCGCTTGTCTGTGCGGCTCTCCCTGGAGGATGCCAGACTTGCTGGTGATGCTGTTCTGAACGATGGAGTTCTTGCCTTTCCCTTAACTCTGTGGGATTCAGGGTCCAGTTCATCTCGAATTCTGTGCAGTCAGGGAAACATAAAAATCGACACATGCGCTTTCAACATTTTCTATTTTAATTTAAAATTTACAAATGTTCATTTCGTCGGTGGAAAAAAATAGACTTTTCTTGTGAATCTGGTGTGTGTGTGTGTGTGTGTGTGTGTGTGTGTGTGTGTGTGTGTGTGTGTGAAACAGAATGCATTTCTATAATTTTTTCATGAAAAGAAGCAAGTCGGGGCATCATGTAAACTCTCTCCTTGCGGAGCAGTCTCGCTACAGCGTCTTTTGGCTGTTTTGCGACATATTTTTCTTCTTTAATTTTTTTTTTTTTATCATCTGATCCATGTTGGTGGCAAACAGAAGGCTGGAGAGTAGCCTTTTTTTCCCTTGTCTCTCAAACATTTCTTAGTTTCTTGGTATGTCCTCGGCTTCGGCTGTATCCTCTTAAATTGCCTGTTTTAGTAACAAGTACCTGGCGTAAAAACATTAAGAAAAACCAACCAACTGACCCTTCATAAGCATGTGACTCACACAGTAGAAAGAACAGACAGGGGAGTAGCCAGGAGTAGGTTGTTAACCAAGAGCTTTCTGCATGCAGTAGGCATCCATCCAGTGAGCTCTGTGGAGGAAACGGAGATGGCCTGCGGGCGGTCATAGACCTGGCGGTAAAGAGGTGGCTCATCCCTGTGAGGACCTTCAGTACGGCTTAATAGTGAGAGTCTGTAAATGGAGAGCAGAGTGTAGAAAGACCACAAGGGAACATCAACCTGGGCCCAAAAATAAAATGAAATAAAGAGGGAAAAGTGTTGGGAGCCTCCTAGGTGTATGGAGTGCTCAGAGAGCATCCATGAGAGGCTGCAACGGGAGCCTGTGGCTCAGACTAAACCCACACCGGAGAGACAATGAAGAAGAACTAGGAGTGTCCACACGGCTGGAGGTGGGAGAGTCCGCTGATGAAGCCTCCAAGGTCTAATCCCAGCCTAATTGATCTGAAGAGGAATTTTTTTTGAGACCAGACAGTTGTCTAGACATTATAAGATGCAGCCACAATCTATACATTGATCGTCAAAGTAAGCCAGTGGAGAATGGTAACAGATCTAAGAGCAATTAACAAGGTAACTCAGTCAGTGGGCTCTCTACAGTCCGGAATTCCTTTGCCTGGCTGTTTCCAGTGTGGCCTTGAACTCACAGAGATCCAGATGGATCTCTGCCTCCCAGGTGATAGGATTAAGGGTGTGTGCCACCACTGTCTGGACTCTATGTCTAATCTCGTGGCTGGCTCTGTCCTCTGATCCTCAGGTAAGCTTTATTGGGGTACACAATATATCACCACATAAGCTAGTCTGCTACTTTAGAGAAAACTGCTCTAAGCATCGTTTCTCTCGGGCTGGATTCCACTGAAAGTTGCAGAGGAGGAGCCAGAAGGGTGAAGTTAGAATGTGGAGAGGGGAGAGGGGCTGGCCGTTTCTTGTGACCAGGGCTCTCATGCTCGTGTTACTTCCGCTCAGACCTCGATGAATGCTCACAGTCTCCAAAACCGTGCAACTTCATCTGCAAGAACACCGAGGGCAGTTACCAGTGCTCCTGTCCCCGGGGGTACGTCCTGCAGGAGGACGGAAAGACATGCAAAGGTGAGGGGAATCTCAGTGGCCGCCGCCCTGGTCTCTCTCTTCGGTAACGTTTGCGCATTAGCGATCAGGGTTGTAACCCAGGCTTCCCCTGTGTTAAAACACTGCTTCACAGAAGCTGCACCAGGGCTCCCATTATAGAAGGAAGAGGGACTTCAAAATCTAAGTCACGCTGTTTCACTCCTTAGAAATTAAACACACACACACACACGCATGCATGCACACGCACACACACAAAATGTCTACACATGTTCACACACACACGATGTCTGTACATGTACACACACACAATGTCTGAACATGTTCACATACACGCACATACAATGTCTATACATGTACACACACAAAATGTCTGCACATGTTCACACATACACACAATGTCTATACATGTTCACACACACACACACACACACACACACACACACACACACACATACATATAATGGAGGTTTTTTTTTTTTCCAAGCCGGGAAACTCAAAATTACACCAAAGGAAAATGAATGGAACTAGATGTCATCACATTAAGCAAAATAAGCCCACCTCAGGAATGCAAATATCATGTTTTCCGACATACACAGAGTCTAGACTTTTTTTTTCAAGAAGTGTAAAAATGTCATAATGAAACCTACTACATTGTCTGCTGTCTTAAAATATTAATTTTAAAAACTTTTAAACTAAAAATTTAAAAGGAAATGTTTATGACTGACTTGAAAGTTGAAGAACACTTTTGAGGAGATGGTCAGAGGCAAGAGGGAGAAACAAGAAGAGATAATGGGGGTAAATTTGAGAAAATTACAATGATGTTCGTATATGAAAATATCATAATCCATTCATTCATATGGTAACTTTTTAATTAAAAAAAAATGTTGAGGCAAGAATTGAAACAAACCATGAGAAATTAGAGTTTTTGTTGCTATCTACCTCAGACTTCATCTCTCAGCAGTCTTACATACATCTGCATTTACTGTAGAAAGGTGGGAAGTCAGTGTGTGCATTACTTTTTGTGTATTAAAAGTAATTACCAGGCTAAATTTGATCATTAAAATGGCTTCCATGCCATACCATGTTTGATTTTATACGAACCATCCTAAGCACGACACTAATGGATTGAGCAGATGGTTTACCTGTATTCTCTGTGAAGCAAGGTTTCATTTCCAACCTATATTAAGAAATGAGTGCATAAAAAGTAGCAAGTTCTGGGATTTTCTTAACCCCGTTTAGAGAAATGGTTCACATGACCTGACTTCTGCATGGTGTTTATAAAATGTGTGGAACGCATACCTTCCACTGTGCAGTGAACTTAGTTTGAATGTATTTTTTTCCAAATTAAGCTTCACTCAAACCAAGATCAGATTTTGAGTTTCCTATTAGAATAGTCCAGAGGTCAATTCTAAATTTATGGTTGTTTGGTTTTGTTGGTTTTGCATTGGTTTGGGGTTTGTTACTGTCTTTTTGACGGTCATGCACCACATGCCCAGCAGAGGCGAAGTTTTTGCTTCTCTCATGTTAGTGACGGTGTTTCCATTTAGATCTGGTAAACCTTCCTCCATTTCCAAACTCTGTTTTATTTTTATTTAATATTCCCTGTAATAAGTTGCCATCCGTGTTCTAAACCACATTAAGTACAAGCAGGACTGCTTTTCCAGGTTAGCTTTGAAAAGGGTGAACTTGCTATGTTTTGGCCATCCAGGTCTTACTTTAAGAAAACTTTGCCCTAAAACTTTTAGCCACCCTGTCCTGATTGATAGCCTTCCATACTTAGACTATTTAATAATGCACACTCAAGCCCTTCCTCTTAAGCATATGTGTGCCTTTATAAACCAGAGCCAAAATGTAAACCAAATGCTCCCATAGAAAATTCACGGCTCCTGTGGATGCGTGAGAACACATGCGTAAGCGGATAGCCCTCCTGATTCTCCTGGATTTCTCTGTCATTTCAGACCTTGATGAATGTCAAACCAAACAGCACAACTGCCAGTTCCTCTGTGTCAACACCCTGGGGGGGTTCACCTGTAAATGCCCTCCTGGGTTCACCCAGCATCACACTGCTTGCATTGGTAAGGCACATCAGAGTTGGGGTAGTTTGCAGATGTCGGGTAGGTGCATAACTACGGCTCAGCCTGGCCTAAAGAAGTTGTAGGTAATGGGGACGTTTCCGTACAAGAACAGCATCCACAGGAAGGAGGCCTGGACATGCGTTTGTGCCATGGGGACATTGTGTGGTGCTTCAGCATGACCCCCTCAGTGTCAGCACAGCTGTGATCACACATTGTACCGTAGTCAGTGCCTCCGTTTCATATTCCATACTGCTGTGACACATGCTCAGATAAAATAGGATTAAAGGCTAATAGCCACACTGGAATATTTAAGTTTTACTTTAGAAGGCACATGTTAAAAGATTCTATATTATCTAAAGTGGCGCCTCTAGTGACTCTAAAATACATTCTGTTTTCAAGTCACTGCAAAAACACACTTTTTATGCTACTCTTGCTAATAAATTCAGACTTAGCTTTGTCTAAAATGCTTTCTCCCTATACCGAAAGCTCGAGCTTGTATCTATCCACTTATTTCACGTAGCGAGATTGAGTTCACATACTACACACCAGGAAGCTTGACTCTCTCCCTCCATCTTGTTGCTTCACTAGACAACAACGAATGTGGGTCTCAGCCCTCACTCTGTGGCACGAAGGGGATCTGTCAGAACACTCCTGGGAGCTTCAGCTGCGAATGCCAAAGAGGGTTCTCTCTGGACGCCTCTGGGCTGAACTGTGAAGGTGAGTTCATGTGCGCAAGAACCCTTGATGTTAGGGCTGTAGAAACGGCCTAATACATAAAGCATTTCCATGTCAGGCTGAGGACTGGAGTTCAGATCCCCAGAACCCAAAGGCCAAATAGGCATGGTACCTCTGCTATAATCCCAGTGCTCTGGAGGCCAGAGTGGGTTCTGTGGAGCAAGGTGGGTAGCTAGACTACAAGAATCAGCACGCTCTGAGTTCAGCAAAAGGCCCTGTCTCAATATCCGAGGTGGAGCACTCTAGAAGAACATACACACACACCTCTCGGCACATACACACGTACCTGCACCTGCACACATAAGAACGTACATATGCACATGCATGCACACCATATACAAATACACGCACAACAATAATAACCGGAGCAGGAGGCTGATGGCTGTTGCCCTTTTCATAGACTGAAGCTCTTGCCCCTAGTGAGAGCTTACAGTGCCTCCCATGAAATAAGTGTTTTTCCCTTACAAAATCCAAGGGAACAGCTGATTGGGAGGTAAGTGAGAATCTGCCTGCAGTCTGAAGACTATCACATGGCTCTTCAGTGTTTTCTTGGCAAGGGCTCAGGTACAGGAAGATGAATATGTTAATGTTGAATGCCTCATCCCCTTTACATCTTTATATTGTGTTGCAATTTATATTATTGAGTCAGTCATCCTTTTTAAAGCTATTCCTAGAAATAGGTGACTTTCAACTCTAGAAACATTCAGAATTTTAAACACGCTCTTTGTAAGAATTGTAGGACTTTTGTGTGTGTTTTTCAGCCCCCTTTTTTTTTGCTTTAAAAATTTTTAATTTTTTTTGTGTTTGAAATCAATAGCCATTGAAAACATTCTGAACCTAGCAGCTGCTTGCCATGTGTGAATTCAGCTCATGCCCATCCACATAAGATACCATTTATTAATTATCCATGTAAATTTGTTACACACACATCAGACATGCCAATTTCATTTCACTCTTTTGGGGTAGATTTCAAAGCCTTAGTTGTCATTCCAAAAGTGTATGCATATATTAACAAAGAAATTATTCCATATGTATCATACCACATCTTGCCTAAAAATAACAACATATTCAAATACTTAAAAAGGATTTGCATCTAATTAGTCTTGACCAACAAAAAAAAAAAAACTTTGCATGCAAAACCATTATGCTTTATAGATATCTCCATGGTTTTCGTATCTTCCCCACAATGAGGATTACATGTGAGTCAGTTTTGAATTAGCCAGAAACTGTAATGCACACACACACACACACACACACACACACAATTTACCAACTAAATCATACCATATGGAGCTAATCAATTCAAAATGCACCATATTTGTGGTTACTATGGTTGATTTGCTGAAATTAAACTATTATTCAGAGCACTGGTGTGCCATGGTCTGGTGGACGACATTAAGAATAAGGTGGTTTCTTATCTCAGCCGTCCTCGACACGCCATGCCTTGTTTATTTGTTCCCTTAAAGGTTGTGTCAGGAATGCATTTCACAAGGGAAAGTAAAGCCCGGACTTGGGTTGTTGTCTTGCAGATGTTGATGAATGCGATGGAAACCACAGGTGCCAACATGGCTGCCAGAACATCCTGGGAGGTTATAGGTGTGGCTGCCCCCAGGGATATGTGCAGCATTACCAGTGGAATCAGTGTGTCGGTGAGCATTCCTTGGTGGCCCGGCGCGTGCTTTTCTCACTTCAGTGTCTGAGTCAACGGAATAAATAATGGAAGTGGTAGTGGTAGTGCAGTGTGCTAGAACCTAAAAAAAAAAAATGGCGTTTGGGGCTGGTGTGGGGGAGGGCTAGAGTTAGCTCAGGAGCAGAGCACATGGAGGGTCCAGGGTTCCTTCCGTCCCACCCCGACCCTGGACAGGGGAAATCTGCATAAAAACACGGATGCACTCTGGGGTTTTAGTCTACTAGATTCTGCACTTGTACGTGTGACAAAATCCGTAATGAACATGTTTCTGCAGTTTTTAAAGAAAGGCCCATGGACTAGAGGTGTAGACATTTTCACTTTGTGGTGTACTGTGAGGTTTCTGAGGACGGCATCAAAAACAGCATGTTCGTTAGCCATGCTTTGCTGCTTTTCGTCAGTAATCTGACAGATTTGGGTTGTGGAGGTACTCTTCCATTACCCTCTTATAAATCGAAAGGACCTTTGCCCTCCTTTTTGAGACGGGGCTTCCTATAGCCCAGGCTTGTCTGTAGCCTCAGGCTGGCCTTGAACTCTTCTAGATCCTGTAACCTCTGCTTCCCAGGACTTGGGATAGCAGGCATGCACCACCGTGCCTGGTTAGGAATCCTAAGAACTGAGGCCAGGCCATCTGGGCTCTCCTGTCACACAGCTTTAATAAGCGCTGTGACGGTGTTTTGCCATGGAAGAGGCAGCTAGTCACAGCAAATGCGCCTGACAACTCCAGACAAGAATGTTTATAAAAGAAAACACGCGGGCATTCCGTTCTATTCTTTGCATTGATAATAATCACGGACATTCTCCTCATGAGAAACCACTGATCAAAGAGACCATTACTGTTCTTGAGTAGACTCACTTAGCATATGCCCAATTTCTTGGCTGTGTTTGTACACACTCCACAGCTGCACATCTTGAGAGGAGACGCTCGCCTTGCCAAACAGAAGGGCAGCGGAGCCCTGCCCCGCCCCCACCCCTAGAAACTAGCAGGATGCTTCCTTGTCTCTGAAGTGATTTAAGCTACTACACATGTTGTTCAAAAGTAGTGTAATGATCCACCAAACGAACTGACTTGATTTGATCTCTTATGTTTTTCTCAAAAGAATTTTCTAACGACAGCTCAGTGAGCTGAGAAGAAAACCCAAGTGTTTCAGAAGGGACACAAGGTCTATGAAGTTCTTATCTGGACTGTGGCCCCCCCTGCCAGGCCAGAAATGCCACACCAGAAATGCCCATCACGGGGAGGAAAGTCTCTACATCCTGTGGTCTAGAGCAAGGGATATTGATGATGTGTGGGAAAATGTCACAATAGAGCCCATTGTTTTATACACTACCTTAAAAAATTAGTAAAAAACTTTAAAAACATGCAGCTAGGAAATAAAGGTAAGGCTAAATCTTTCAATGATTACCAAAGCAATGAATTAAGTTGTCAATCAAAACTATTTCATAAATATGATCCATTTCCTTTTTCTTTCATATATATAATATATATTCTAGGGCCTGATATATTCATTCATATACTGAGGCCAAGTCCTAGCAAGCTTTATAGAATACAGACAATAGTGATTTTTTTTACCATTAGCAATTATTTAGAACTTTATTATATTATGGTGTTTCTGAACTCCCAGTCCTTCATTTTAGTAAGGACTGCGTGCTTCTCATGAGCTCTGCAAAACTTAAGGCAAAAAGAGTCATTCTCTAGTAGTTAACTCACACCGAATTCTTGGTTTTAAAGAGAATTTAAGTAGAAATGAGAACATGTATAAGTCATCAATTCAAGTTTTTACACTTCTTAAAGTTTTGACCTGTGAACATCCAATGCAAAAACTGTCTTTTGGTAACTTTGGAGTTTCTATTTGAAACTGAGTGAAGTTTGAAATGGTAAGTTACCATTCCTGTTTCCTTTTCATGAGTTCCTTGAGTACAGCGCTTTAGCCTAGGCTGCCAGAGTCCAGACCCAGGCCTGGGTGCCTTCTGATGAGAGAAACACCTTGAGGAGGACAGCAATGCTTTTCAAGGATGGGGTGTGAGGACAGGTGCTGTGGATATCACTCTATATGCTGTGAATGTATTGCTCTCATTAGTTGATAAATAAAATGCTAATTGGTCAGTAAACAGGCAGGACGTATAGGCGGTAGGTACAAGTAGAGAGGAGAAATGTGGGAAGAGTCAGGAGCCACCAGCCAGACACAGAGGAAGTAAGATGTAAAGACAGAACTGAGTAAAGGTACCAAGCCACGTGGCTAAACATAAATAAGAATTATGGGTTAATTTAAGTGTAAGAACTAATCAATAGTAAGCCTGAGCTAATGACCAAGCAATTTTAATTAATATAAGCCTCAGTGTGTTTACTTGGATCCAAGTGGCCGCAGGGCCACAGGGGCCAAGCAGGACCAGGAAAACTTCAGCCACAGACATGTGCGTGCAGTCCCAGCACCCACAAACTAAAACAGGAGAATCCAAAGCCAGTGAGACCCTGTCTCAAAAACAAGCCATCCAATAAAGGGGATCAAAAGTACATAAGCAGGTCTCCCCAGTTGCAAGAGTGGTGTAGGAGCATTTCTTTCCTAAAATGGTTATCTCTAAGCAGCCACTCTATTGGTAGAGAACAGAGACTGATTTCAAAGGTTCTGGATCCTTCCAGGGATTCAGCTGGTCTCTAATAAAGCCAATGCTATTCTTGCCTTGAAACCTTAACACAGTTTGGAATTTTAGCTCAAATACATGGCAGAAATAGAGTGACATTGCTCCAACCAGGAAGCTGTTAGCACAAAAAATAAAATTATGACATAGTTCAGATTATCTGTGACTGCTAGTATAAATACTCTATGAGTGATGGGGGACATAGAGAAGACTCTGAAGCAGTTTTCTGAGAGTCCTCTAGTGAATAGTCACAGCTGTCAGTCAGTGCACCAGATTCTTGTCAAGTAGACAAAATTGTAAGTTTATGATACTGTTCATGTTACCACCAATTCAAGAAAAGCAAAAGTTCTCTGAAAGGGTTCATTTTGAAAAAAACTTTCCATCCAAACTCTCGCTTTAATAAGTTTCCAGTGAGTTACCACAGGGAATCAAGAGACCGTTTTAGGACATTGGATATCCAGATGTCGGGAGTACCTCAGCCTCTGACTATTGTGATTGTTTAAAATTGAAAATGTGGGGCTCTTATGAACATTTGCACATGAAGAAAATGTTTCAGTTTGCATTTTTTTTTGCCATCTACTGCTGATAACTTTCAGTTTTTTCTATATTATAAGCTTTCCAAAAAATAATTCTAACATAGCCTAGCAAGGCATTTTAATTCACAGTGTATCTCAAACAAGGCCATACTTAACTGAATTCATTCAATGTCACCATGCTATATATTTATAGCGTATAAATATGAGGTCTTATGGTGCTTCCAGAAACATCTTGTTTTAAAATGTTCTTGTAAGTGGAATGTTCAAATTCAATTTACTCAATTAATTGGCTTTCTTGGTAATTTTTCTACCTAACACAATGCCTGAATAAATCATAGTAGGAACATGCCATTAAGTTATAATCTAATTTAGATCCCATGTTAGAAGAGAGAAATCCTGCATGCTAATGTGAGAATTAATTATAAAAGTGGATGAAGCTTGGGGGCACAGCCCCATGTCTCTCAAATAGATAAACGAAACACTGGGTACATTCAGGTCTCATGGAGCCAAGTTACTGAGAATTTATGTATTTTCTCTGCATATAATAAAGGCCAGGGGATTTCACATATTAGGTAATCTGAGCATATTTTATATTCAATGACTTAATAGTTCAACACTTAGCTCTCTCATTTAATTCTCACACTATGTTCATTACATTAAATGTACCTCCTATCTGCCCTTTTAGTAGCCTCTATCCTGTGCTTAAACGAAGTTCAATTTCCTGTCTAGAGGCCTCTGCTGAGCCCCATCTTCATCTAGGAAATCTCCCGAACCCCTGCAGGTCCCTGCCCCACACCCCGTAATCACCATCGTGTTCCCTGGGTACGCACACTCACAGATGTGCCTGCTTCCCCACATGGGCTGAAATATGTCCACAGACACTCTACACTCCATATACAGTCACAAGAATGGAAAGAATTCCATGGACCAGATGTGATTTGTGCCCAGGGTGAAATTTGGGTTATAATAAAGCTCAAAGGAGTCAAACCCAGGGCTATCTATCAACCAAGCAGTTAAAAGCAAACTCATAATTTCCAAAGTCAAAAGCACCATGGGGCCTTGGATCTGTGATAACAGCAACTGAAAACAGACCTGTGATCTTACTCCTGCCGGGCTTCCACGGGCCAGAGCTGAGCATTTAACAGTAAGGGCTCAGTGTCGGCTCAGGGTGGGACACAACGCTCTCAGAGGCACAGTCCGCACCAGGCAGGCTCTGCAGTCGATAAAACCATTCAGTTTGGTATAGTACAGCAGTATTTTTCCAACGTTCTCATAAAAGGCTCTGAATGTTTCATAGACATGAAGGTGTGGGGAAGTGCTGAGGGGCCATTGACACAAATGCTGATAGAGAAATGAGCTTTCAAAAAAAAAAAAATCCACATGATTCACATACCAGAAAATTCATCCTTTTTAAGTGTCAGCTGAATGATTTCGGTGTGTTCTTCCAAGGGTATGCAGCAACTACCCCAATAGTCTCGTTTGGCCCCGCCCCAAGAGAAGCCCCACACCTAGCAGCCATTATTCCCGCCTCTTCTCTCCCCCAAGCCCCTGCAACCGCCAATCTGCTCCCCTCCTGGATTTGCCTAAAATACAGGCTTTTGAAATAACCCTTTGTTAAGAGAAGAAGAGAATTATTCATTGGGTAAGCTGCAAGTATCTGTCCCTAAGGGCTGCCCGCATTCTCAGAAGTAGTACAAATAGACTAGAAAAGGGTGACGAGAGTTGTTGTTTTGTTTCGATTTGGGGGGTATTTGCCTCTAAAGATGTATTTTTTTTTTTTTTTTTTTGGTTTTTCGAGACAGGGTTTCTCTGTGTAGCTTTGCGCCTTTTCCTGGAACTCACTTGGTAGCCCAGGCTGGCCTCGAACTCACGGAGATCCGCCTGGCTCTGCCTCCCGAGTGCTGGGACTAAAGGCGTGCGCCACCACCGCCCGGCCTAAAGATGTATTTTTGAAATATTTCTTTAATTAACTCCCTGGCTGCTTTGAAGTCGGTCGCAACAGTGTTTCTTTTAAGCTATCTCCCCTATAAACCGACTGGCCCTGGGAGACCACTCCCCAGCTTCATCTTCCCCGGCCCCGCCCCTTCCCTGTGTAAGGCCTGCTTTCTTCCTTCCAACAGATGAGAACGAATGTTCCAACCCCAGCGCCTGTGGCTCTGCGTCCTGCTACAACACCCTGGGCAGTTACAAGTGCGCCTGCCCCTCGGGCTTCTCCTTCGACCAGTTCTCCAGCGCCTGCCACGACGTGAACGAGTGCTCCTCCTCCAACAACCCCTGCAGCTATGGCTGCTCCAACACGGAAGGCGGCTACCTCTGCGGCTGCCCGCCGGGGTACTTCAGAGTGGGACAGGGGTAAGGCAGCCCACGGGCCCCCAGCAACAGCACGGTGTGACTCTCCCTCTGTCCAGGGAGTGGAGGCAGCCTCGCTTCCCTGCCACTGTGGGGAAGGAGCGGGGACCCTCACAACCAACACCACCAACGTGTAAGGCCTGAGAGATGAAAGTGTTGGGACTTAGGCACCCTGAAGTATAGGGTCACTTCCTTTGTGGAGATCCTAAGGCTTGAGCTTCCTTCCCGTGGTGGTGTCACCCTTTGCTCCTTGTAATGGCTGAACTTGATGGATTCCGACCCACGGCCAGATTAAGGCGTTTGTAGCTTGTATGTCACTGTGAGAGGGAGGTCAGTGTGGAAATGACCTGCATTGTTCTGCCATTCCTACAGGGGCTGACCCAGTAATCCCTGAGGAAGGGAGGACTTTGTCTTTCTTCCTTCATCGGGTTTTATGTTGCCCAGAAAGGGAACAATCCTTCTCCCTAAGGCTGACTTCTCTTGGGTGACTGAACTTTCTCAGGTCTTACCACTTGTGGCTGAGTCTTAGCCCCATGAACCCTTCCACCCAGAGGGTGAATAGGGATGAACTTCTTTGAAAGGAACGGTTGGTGAGGCAGGCACTAAGGGACATGGACCAGTCTCCCCACCACCACCACCCCCCACCCCTGACCGCCATACAATCCCACGGAACAGAACAGATTGGGCCTTGCACAGGTCACTTTAGAGTGGACGCATTGCCTCTTTTTGCTAACTAAAATAGGATTCAGAAACACCAATGACTGAAGCACGGATCTTTTCCTTAGTAGGAAGCAGCCTCAGGCTCATGAAGCAATGGAGTTTCTCTTACCATTGTGTTTTGACTTTCAGAGCTGCTTTTTCCTCCTTAATAAACTACCTTTCAGTGGCTCAGTCTAATTAGGATTGAAAGCCTAGGAAGCCCAGGGCTAGTCGGAAATCTCTCCCTCTGTGTGGGGAAGGACAGAACTACAGTGATCGGGTATTGTGATTAAGAGCAGTGCTCTCAGCCTTCCTAATGCTGTGACCCTTTAATGCAGGTCCTCATGTTGCGGTGACCCCCAACCATACAATTGCTTTCGCTGCTACTTCATAACTGTAACTTTGCTACTGTTATGAATCGTAATGTAAATATCTGTGATTTCTGATTGGCTTAGGCAGCCCCTGTGAAAGGGACATTTGATACCCCCCAAGGGTCAAACCTCCCCCCGCCCCAGGTTGAGAAACAGTGGTTTAGAGCTTGCTCTGCTGTTCCCATGTTTTGAAGGATCTTTAGACTGCCCAGGCTAATGATGATAATGTCTAACAGTGTTCCTTCTCACGAACAGCCACTGTGTCTCGGGGATGGGCTTCAACAAAGGACAGTACCTCTCGGTGGACACGGAGGTGGATGAGGAAAATGCTCTGTCCCCAGAAGCGTGCTACGAATGCAAAATCAATGGCTACCCCAAGAAAGATGGCAGGCAGAAGAGGAGCTTGCAGGAGCCTGGGCCAGCCTCGGCTGTGAGTAGATACGGAGTAGAAATCCTGCTTTGCCAAAACAAAAAACAAAAGCAAAAGGTTATCCACATCTTGTCACAGTGCCATTAATATGCTTTCAGCTCCAGCACAGTGAAGTCTATCTGGATATTTAGTCATTCAATTGGCAGGTCCAGTGTGGTAAAGATAAGCAAATTAAAATTAGTTGGAATGATGTCTAAAACACAAAGCCCTGTGGGAGACGATGATTCACTTTCAAGTCATTTTGATTTAGTTTGTATTTGTGCCCCAGAGTGGAAGATGCTCACTTGAGAAATAATTATTTGAAAATTATTCAAAACTGAAATGATTTTGAATTCTTACAGTTCTATTCCAGACATATAAGAAGATACTGTCAATTTTAGCTTTTCACTGGGTCCGCCAGCCAGGTCACGTGTTCTGTGCTTATAAGTCTTGCCCATCATAAAATTTTGTTTCCAGTTAACTTGCCTTTTGTAACGAACTAGAGGTCTGACTTTGCAGCCTCTGGTATTTTTCTCTCTTCCAGGGGCGTTTTAGCAGCGTAGTTAGGAGGCTGGGCCAAAGGCCGCCTGGTTTGGGAGCAGTTCCTCAGCCCCGCCCACCAGTAATGGGTCTCACAGGACAGGTAGACCTAACACTCAATGACTAATAACCCACATATAGGGAGGTCGGTGATTTTCACTGAGGCCAGAGGCTGTATGACTTCACAAGTCACTTCTAGTTTCAATTAATATTGCTGAGAATTGCCCCCACCCCACCCCCAAAAAATATCATCACCAACTGCCTGGCTATGTCAACTGGCAGCTTGCTTTATTTTTCTGGGCCCCAGAACCTTTTCTTATCTATAGGACCATGTTAATTTAGACCCAAAAATCTCTGATAGTATTTTAAAATAACAAGTTAGTGTTACATTTCCTTTTCAGTAAACTGAAGTATCCAACAGATGTTTAATCATGACAACTCATTCATCAAGATATAAAGCCTTCCCATTGTGGTGCAGGAAACATAATTCTGTCTAAAAATAATGATGAGTTCCTCTAAGCTACTGTAGCCGCAACCTCACTTAAGCACATACCCACATCAAAGCATTATGGTTTGGGGGCATGTCTAACTAAAGTGTATTCCTACCTCACACCCCGACTGACAAATTCGGATCATATTATCTGGGCCCTACCCGCTGGCTCTCACTCATCTTGGCTCACTCTGCATCTGACTCTGCATGTACTAAGGCTCCTAGTCAACTCAGAGCCCAGCTGCCTTGAGGGTGATGATTTCCCTGGGTGTGGGACCTGCTGTTGACTTCTCATTTTGACCCCAGAAAAGATAAAATTAGACTCCATCTCTTCAATTGTCCTTTTTTTTTCTTTAAAAATGTTTATTTTAGAATTTCACACGTGTACAAAACGCATGCTGATCCTATTGGCCCCCACTTCCCCCACTCCGGCTCGCTGAAGAGAACCTCCCAACACAACATATCCCCCTTCCGACTTCTTTAGCTAACGCCCCATTGGATACACTTTGTGCTGCCCGTAGGCACTGAAACATGGACAAACTATGAGTGGCCACACCACCAGAGAAAAACCACCCTCTCATTTTAAAATTACTAATAAGCACCACGGGGTGCTTAAACTCATCAAAATAAACTAGATACGTGACGGATTCTCTGTGGCCTAAGTCCTATAACTCGAATGATCTTGTTGGGTCTGGGTGAGAGTCAGAAAGATTTACAAGAGCATCCCTCCATGGGATGAAGCTTTGTCCCGCCTCTATTTACAGTAACCTCTTCCACAGGCAGCTAGCTGATGGCCAAACAGGGAACAGCCTCAGCCTGCCACTGTGACTGTAACCCCCGACCACAGGTGGCTTGTGAGTCCACTGTGTGCCCTGTAGAAATCCATCTCAAGTGTGTGCCTGCTCTTTCCCCAGGTGGAGCAAATCAGCCTAGGCAGCGTCGCCATGGACAGCCCGGTCAACATGAAGTTCAACCTCTCTGGCCTTGGCTCCAAGGAGCACATCCTAGAACTGGTACCTGCCATTGAGCCCCTCAACAACCACATCCGTTACGTCATCTCCCAAGGGAATGACGGCGGCCTCTTCCGAATCCACCAAAGGAATGGGCTCAGCTACCTGCACACAGCCAAGAAGAAGCTCACCCCCGGCACTTACACACTGGAAATCACCAGCATCCCTCTCTATGGGAAGAAGGAGCTTAGGAAACTGGAGGAATACAATGAGGATAACTACCTCCTAGGGGTGCTGGGGGAAGCCCTGAGGATGAGGCTTCAGATTCAGCTGTACTAGCCCTTTGCAGACTTGGGTCCCACACCCAACTCAGATCCCAGCACTGCCAGCCTTCAGAAGTGTTTGGAATGTCAGTGACTAATTTTAAAAGAGGAAAAAAAAAAATGACTTCTGTTCCTTTCCTCCCTGATTCAGACTTTGGGATGTTGACCCTCACAGGGAGGGATAACTTAGACTCCAGTACGGCCAAAGATTTGAGTGCAAAGGCAAACATAGTTACTGTATTTTTTATATAACTTCATTTTAAAATATATTAAAAAAAAAAACCTAAATGTTTGAGAGATCAGCATATGGCACTAAATGCACAAAAATAATGTGAGCTTTCTTCCTGTTAGCAGTCTGTAACACTTTGGGTATTTTGCTATAGTTGCTAATTAAAAAAAAAATATAGATGTTTATTTATTTTAATGCAGTAATATATGGAGAAAAGAACAAACTATGTAAACAAAAAGGGAAAGTTGCTTGTTTTTCTTTAGATTTATAAATTTGTGGTATTTCTTTTAGAGGTGCTTTAAAAAAAAAAAAAGTCCAGTACATTCCAGAGATGTCTCCTTTGGTTTCTCTGCCAGCCCTCCAACTGGTACGCACCTGACTATTTGAGAGAAAGTCTTACGGAGCTGAATGGGCAGTGTAATCAATAATTTAGAAGACGTACATGTCGTCTGATCCCATCTAAAGGAGATCAAAGCCAGAGCAGCTCACGTGACAATATTTCACATCACCAGATTCACCAGGCCACCGTAGAGGAAACTCAAACCACTGTAGCAAAATACCTTGAGTGCTCGTGAGACCGTTAGCGTCGCAGGCCAAACTGTACTGTATTTCCTTCTCATAACCTCAAGGAACCACATGTGCTGCCCACAACACCTCATTCTTACCAGGGCGTGCTGCACACTTGTGGTCCCCTAGGCAGCTGAAGAACCGCTGTTCCTGTGAATAGGAACACCTGGCGTCTCGTCGCGTTTGGTGCTGTCGTAGATCAATGGTGCATTTATTATGTTCAAGCTATTTCAGGATTGCCATATGTGCAAACAATCATGCCACGCAGCCAAGGAATATATGTTGATGTTGTTGTTTTTTTTTTTTAACCCATGTTTTTTTTAGAATTTTTCATTAATACTGTAGTTATACACCATATGCCTCATTTTATCATAGCTTATTGTGTATGAAGTACCTTTGTAAAATGAATTGATATTTAGTTTGCTTTAGCCATTTGGAAAGATGCTACACCAGGAGGTACTAATAAGGGCACATCTCCATGCTCTTCTCTCCAGAGAACCCATCCCTGGACCCGTGACGAAACCTCCTAAGTGAAATGGCCAAAGCGCACACAGACTGCCAATCATTCCTCTCACACCCTGTGTCGACCAAAGAGTAGCAACCAGTTATATCCAGTGTTTGAGGGCTTTTCTCGTTTTTGTTCGTTTGTTTTTAATAACTAAAAAGAAAAACAATGTAAATTTGTAATCAAGTGTTTGTGAGGAAAAAACTTATGGATTTTGGTTGTGTTTGTTTTTGTAGGTCTATGTATCAGATATGACACTTGTCTTGCAATAAAGCTTATTTTGGGGTAGTTTTCTGGCTGAGTTTCCTGAGTCTACAGTGGCTGGTGCGTTTGTGGGAGGCACTGGGGACTTGGCTTACAGGGACATGTACTGAAGAACTAGAGGGAGGGCAGGGCACACCCACAGGAAAGTAAAGGGATTCGGTGACACGCACGACAAGCAAGCAGTTAGGGTTTGCTTCCGTGTCACATTCACACAGAAGAATATAATGAAAGCAGTGGGATTGTTCAATTCTGCATAAATCCTCAGCTTCCGAGGACCCGGTTTTCCAGTGACCTCAGAGAATTACACTTCTTCCACCAGTATATTTGTGGAAGCTATCGATATAAAGCATCCTGAAGTATCTTTAAGAGCTTAAAGAGCAAAGTTTACTGGAGCCAAAACTTTAAGCAAAAGTAAACAGCCGGCATATCTCAATGCAAGTGGCATCTTCACCCAAAAGCAACCCAAAGCGTGTCGCTTACAATGCTGTGCACTATACAATGCCATGCACTATACAATGCCATGCACTATATGCTGAGAAGTGAATAGATTTAATGGAGTTTAACTTGAACCTTCCTTTGATATGTTGTTAAAATGGTACACACACACACACACACACACACACACACACACACACACACACAC